AGCCATGAAGTTATTATGTCACTACTTATTGGCTTCTTGATAGGCCGAGTCAAAAGAGCCCAACCCCAAGTCTCCATGACCTTCTGGTCAAAAGATATGATCTCACAAATTTTGTGCCAATGTTAAGTCTATGGGACTTTTTTCGGCCAATTATTTGCCCCTGGGGCAAACACCGTACCCCCGATCGGTAAGAAAAGTCACAGCACACCTCTCCTCAATAATCCGCACAATTTAACGCCTCACTCAGGGGTCTGTGATGTCGGCATGTATTTATTTACAGATAATTACTATGGAGTTTTATATGGAGTTTTTATAGAGTTTTTATAGAGTTATTTAGTATGGCACTCGGCCTGCGGCCTCGTGCCTATGGCCTACGGTTGCTAGGGTGCTGTAACTGGTTGCTATGGTGTGGCTATGAAGATTTTAGGCCATTACTTATTGGCTGCTTGATAAAATAAATCCTCTGAGGGAGAGAGAGAGGGCCTGACAGCAGGGCTGTCAGGCCCTTTTGTGTCTGTGTGTGTGAAAGTGGCAGTTGAGATTTGAATTTTTGAAAGTTCCGCAATGTTAAGTCAATGGGATTTTTTTGGCCGCTTTTTCGTCCGCTGTGCGAACATCGTACACCCGATCGCTTAGAAAAGTCATAGCACACCATTCCCGAACAGGCCGCACGTTTTGACACCTCATTCATGGGTCTGTGACAAAAACTGCGGGAGGAGTAGCGCGTCAAAATGTGGCCGGAAGAATAAGAATAATAAGAACTAGAATGTACATTTCCAGAAGAAAATGTGAAGTGGTGCTTGCAGTGGCAAAACTCGCTGCTCGGTTGCTAGGGTGTGGTACAAAGATTGCATACGAGCCAACAACCATGTCTGTACGATGTTCTGGTGCCGAGATATGGATTATTCATGTGTTTGTATGGTTACTAGGGTACTCTCTATGGTTGCTATGGTGTGCTTATACAGTTTATGAGATGATATTTAAAGACTAGTTGACAGTCTGAGTCAAAAAAGCCAAACTCCATGTTTCTACTATATTCTGGAGCTAAAATATGGCTTGTAAATGTAGTTTTACGGTTGCTAGGGTGCCCTAAGTGGTTGCTAGGGCGTGGCCATGAAGTTATTATGTCACTACTTATTGGCTTCTGGATAGGCCGAGTCAAAAGAGCCCAACCCCAAGTCTCTATGACCTTCTGTTCAAAAGATATGATCTCACAAATTTTGTGCCAATGTTAAGTCTATGGGACTTTTTTCGGCTAATTTTTCGTCCGCCAAAGGAACATCGTACAACCGATCGCTTAGAAAAGACATAGCACACCTCTCCTCAATGAACCGGTCGATTTGACACCTCATTCATGGGTCTACGAGAAAACATGCGGGAGGAGTAGCGTGCCGAAGTTTTATCTAGGTGAATAGTAATCACAACACTAGAATGTACATTTCCAGAAGAAAATGTGAAGTGGTGCTTGCAGTGGCAAAACTCGCCGCTCGGTTGCTAGAGTGTGGTACATTATTGCAAACGAGCCAACAACCATGTCTGTACGATGTTCTGGTGCTGAGATATGGCTTATTCGTGTGTTCAGGTGGTTACTAGGGTACTCTAAATGGTTGCTATGGTGTGCTTATACAGTTTATGAGATGATATTTAAAGACTAGTTGACAGTCTGAGTCAAAAAAGCCAAACTCCATGTTTCTACCATTTTCTGGAGCTGAAAAATGACTTAGAAATGTAGTTTTATGGTTGCTAGGGTGGCATAAGTGGTTGCTAGGGCGTGGCCATGAAGTTGTTATGTCCCTACTTATTGGCTGCTTCATAAGCCGAGTCAAAAGAGCCCAACCCCAAGTCTCTGTGACCTTCTAGTCAAAAGATATGATCTCACAAATTTTGTGCCAATGTTAAGTCTATGGGACTTTTTTACCCAATGATTTGCCCCTGGGGCGAACACCGTACCCCTGATCGCTAAGAAAAATCATACCACACCTCTCCTCAATAATCCGCACAATTTGACGCCTCAATCAGGGGTGTGTGATGTCGGCGTGTATTTTTCAACAGATAATTACTGTGGAGTTTTTATTTGGAGTTTTTATAGAGTTTTATAGAGTTATTTAGTATGGCACGAGGCCTGCGGCCTCGTGCCTATCACCCACGGTTGCTAGGGTGCTGTAACTGGTTGCTATGGTGTGGCTTTGAAGATTTAGGGCCATTACTTATTGGCTGCTTGATAAAATAAATCCTCCTAGGGAGAGAGAGAGGTCTGCCTGACAGCAGGGCTGTCAGGCCCTTTTGTGTCTGTGTGAAAATGACAGTTGAGATTTAAATTTCTGAAAATTCCGCAATGTTAAGTCAATGGGACTTTTTTGGCCGCTTTTTCGTCCACTGTGCGAACATCGTACACCCGATCTCTTAGAAAAGTCATAGCACACCATTCCCGAACAGGCCGCACGTTTTGACACCTCACTCATGGGTCTGTGACAAAAACTGCGGGAGGAGTAGCGCGTCAAAAAGTGTCCAGAATAATAAGAATAATAATAAGTATGCACAATAACACTAGTGTTGCTTTGCCTTTGGCAAGCACCACTAACTAGAATGTACATTTCCAGAAGAAAATGTGAAGTGGTGCTTGCAGTGGCAAAACTCGCCGCTCGGTTGCTAGCGTGTGGTACATAATTGCATACGAGACAAAAAATACGTCTGTACGATGTTCTGGTGCTGAGATATGTCTTATTCATGTGTTCAGGTGGTTACTAGGGTACTCTATATGGTTGCTATGGTGTGCTTATACAGTTTATGAGATGGTATTTAAAGACTAGTTGACAGTCTAAGTCAAAAAAGCCAAACTGCATGTTTTTACTATTTTCAGGAGCTGAAATATGGCTTGTAAATGTAGTTTAATGGTTGCTAGGGTGCCCTAAGTGGTTGCTAGGGCATGGCCATGTAGTTGTTATGTCTGTACTTATTGGCTGCTTGATAGGCCGAGTCAAAAGAGCCCAACCCCAAGTCTCTATGACCTTCTGGTCAAAAGATATGATATAACAAATTTTGTGCCAATGTTAAGTCTATGGGACTTTTTTCGGCCGATTTATCGCCCGCCGGACGAACATCGTACAACCGATCGTTTAGAAAAGACATAGCACACCTCTCCTCAATGAACCGGTTGATTTGACACCTCACTCATGGGTCTACGACAAAACGTGCGGGAGGAGTAGCGTGCCGAAGTTTTGTCTAGGTGAATAGTAATCACAACACTAGAATGTACATTTCCAGAAGAAAATGTGAAGTGGTGCTTGCAGTGGCAAAACTCGCCGCTCGGTTGCTAGGTTGTTGGACATGATTGCATACGAGCAAAGAACCATGTCTGTACGATATTCTGGTGCTGAGATATGGCTTATTCATGTGTTTGTATGGTTACTAGGGTACTCTATATGGTTGCTATGGTGTGCTTATACAGTTTATGAGATGATATTTAAAGACTAGTTGACAGTCTGAGTCAAAAAAGGCAAACTCCATGTTTCTACTATATTCTGGAGCTAAAATATGGCTTGTAAATGTAGTTTTATGGTTGCTAGGGTGCCCTAAGTGGTTGCTAGGGCGTGGCCATGAAGTTGTTATGTCACTACTTATAGGCTTCTGGATAGGCCGAGTCAAAAGAGCCCAATCCCAAGTCTCTATGACCTCCTGGTCAAAAGATATGATCTCACAAATTTTTTGCCAATGTTAAGTCTATGGGACTTTTTTCGGCAAATTTTTCGCCCGCCGGACGAACATCGTACAACCGATCGCTTAGAAAAGACATAGCACACCTCTCCTCAATGAACCGGTTGATTTGACACCTCATTCATGGGTCTACGACAAAAGGTGCGGGAGGAGTAGCGTGCCGAAGTTTTGTCTAGGTGAATAGTAATCACAACACTAGAATGTACATTTCCAGAAGAAAATGTGAAGTGGTGCTTGCAGTGGCAAAACTCGCCGCTCGGTTGCTAGGGTGCGGTTAGCTAGTTTTTACCAAGATGCTAGCATGATTAGCATGATGCTAGTATCATGCTAGCATGATTAGCATGTTGTTAGCATTATGCTAGCATTATTAGCATGTTGCTAACATCATGCTAGCATGATTAGCATGATGCTAGCTTGATTAGCATGTTGCTAGCATGATGCTAGCATGATTAGCATGTTGCTAGCATGTTGCTAGCATGATGCTAGCATGATTAGCATGTTGCTAGCATCATGCTAGCATGATTAGCATGTTGTTAGCATCATGCTACCAACATGCTAGCATGTTGCTAGCAAAAATAAGCATGTTGCAAACATGTTTTAGCTAGATGCTAGCATGATTAGCATATTGCTAGCATCATGCTAGCATTTTTAGCATGTTGCTAGCATGTTGCTAGCATGGTTGCTAAGGTGTTACTAGGTGGTTGCTAGGGTATTATTGGTGGTTGCTAGGGCGTTGCTAGGCGGTTGCTAGGGTGTTCTGGGTGGTTGCTATGGTGTTGCTAGGCGGTTGCTAGGGTATTCTGGGTGGTTGCACCACTAATTAGAATAAGAATAATAAGTATGCACAATAACACTAGTGTTGCTTTGCCTTTGGCAAGCACCACTAATAAGTATGCAAGAGAACACTAGTGTTGCTTTGCTTTCAGCAAGCACCACTAATTAGAATAAGAATAATAAGTATGCACAATAACACTAGTGTTGCTTTGCCTTTGGCAAGCACCACTAATAAATGTTTCTTGAACACCAAATCAGCATATTATACTGATTTCTGAAGGATCATGTGACACTGAAGACTGGAGTAATGATGCTGAACATTCATATTTGCCATCACAGGAATAAATTACATTTAAAAATATATTCAAATAGAAAACCGTTATTTTAAGTTGTAATAATATTTCACAATATTTCTGTTTTACTATATTTTTAATCAAATAAATGCAGCCTGGATTAAGATACTTTTTAAAAATTAGTCTAATTTATTTATTTATTTATTATTAAATCTGCAGGTACCAACCAGGCAGCCTTTGCTCCAGGGCTGTGGATGAGAAGCCAATGGAACTACAGAGGCTGGAGGCTAAAGGAGCCTTGGCAGATGTGGATAGTGGGGATGAGTACGGCCAGGAGCTGGAGACAACGCCCCTTAAGGAGAGGTTTTCCATCTGGATGCTGGTGCAACCTATCCGTGACGTACCCACCAAGATTTCGGGCATCATTGTTTACTCTGCCACTGGCACCATATGTAAGCATTTGCATTGGTCCCCCTTATGATACCGTTTTTGCTGCAACATGTAGCTGTAAAGTTAAGCTCAGGGAAATGTAAATTAATCATTTTGTTGTTCATAAAGTGAACAGGCAGATAACCACCTTCTCTTTTGCTCTTCAGCTGTGCTGTTCACTTTACTGTGTGTGGTGCTGTCAGTGTACATTCAGCAGTTGGGGATGGGCAACCCTCTATATATCACTTTGGTTGTTCTCCTGTTCGTCCTGTCTTCTGTCTGCATCGTCATCATCTGGCGACAGCCCCAGAGTAAAGAGGTTCTCAGTTTCAAGGTATAGAGACTTACATTAACAAAGCTGCGTTATTCCCTTTGTGCTTGAAAATTTGAGAGTGTCAGATGTTTAGGTAGTTATAATACTCCTCTGTCTACATTTCGTAGGTGCCTTTGCTCCCCATTCTGCCTTTGGTCAGTATCTTTGTAAACATTTACCTCATGATGCAATTAAATGGACCTACATGGGCTCGTTTCGCAGTATGGATGGCTTTTGGTGAGTTATGGCCAATCAAATCTTTGACATTCAAAAGTGTGGAGTCAGTAAGAAAGAAAAGAATACTTTTATTCAGGATGGATGCATTAAATTAATCAAAAGTTACAGTGGAGACATTTATAAATGTAACAAAAGAAGTAATTTTCAAATAAATGCTGTTCTTTTGAGCTTTCTATTCATCAAATCCTGAAAAAAAATGTTCACGGTTTCCACAAAAACATTAAGCAGCTCTACTGTTTTCAGCATTGATAATAAGAAATTAGAACATTCAGCTTTGTCATCACAGCAATTAAGTACATTTTAACATATATTCAAATAGAAAACAGTTGTTTTAAATTGTAATAATGTTTTTCAATATTACTGTTTTTACTGTTTCTCAATAAATAAATGCAGTCTTGTTGAGCATTAGAGACTTCTCTCAAAAACTTAAATATCTTACCGACCCCAACATTTTGAATGGTATTGTAATTGAACACTAACATGGATATTTTGTCAGTTTTTCATTCAAAGTTTGACTTCATTGCATGTCTCTTTTAGGTTTTCTTATTTATTTTGCGTATGGAATAAGGAACAGCTCTGAGGGTAAAACATTTGAGCCCATTTTTCAAGGAAAGAAGCCAATCTACCTGGCCGAAGATGACAGTGAACATGAGAGGCCCACTCCTTAAGAAGAGCAAACTAGATTGGTATGGCAGCTATGTTACAACCAGTTTTGTAAAATGCAGTCACTTTCATGTTTGCACCATATCATTTTTCTGAAGTATGTATCGAAGAGTGATCAATTTTATTCAGTAGGTAAACTGTATTTCCTACTAATAGTTTACCTTGTGTCAGTGCTAGTGATGCGCGGGTCGGCTTTTTTTCCAACCCGCGGGTCCCGCATTTATGAAATTATTTAGCCCACCCCAGCCCGCCCCGCACCACTGTATCTATTTTTACAACCCGCCCCGCCCCGCACCCGTTAAATAGACATACTAGGTATTGTAATGTAAATGAAAACAGCCTTTATTTCAGCCTGAAAGTGCTTGGAAACATCGTCCTGTAAACTCGTCCTGTAAACATCGTCCTTGCAACAACAGACGATTATGAATATGAACCATAAATCTGGTCATATTAATAAGATACTGATAAACATATTCAACATTTACAAAGCAGCGTTTGTATTCATCTAATAGGCTAAACAATTTTTTATTTCTTAGACCCCCCACAAATATGTCTTGACATGCTGGAAAAGTTGAAATGCCCTTTTTGTGGCTCTCCTGTTTGTATATTTTTCACACGAGTTGCACTTCACGTAGCCGATACTGTCTTCTGCTGCAACTATTTCTGAGAACCGGTTCCAAACATTAGATTTAGCAGCCTGACCTTTTTTCTTTTAATTATGTAAATTCCCGACCTCAATTTCTCCCGCACCTCGTCTTCCATCTTCACTTTTATTTCTCCGCTCTTGTTGTCGTGGCTGGTGGCGGGAGCTGCTTGGCGCGCCGCTTTCGTGACGTGTCGCCAAAGGTTTGGGGAAATCACACAAGTTACGTTGCTACGGCATTCGTATTGTAACCTTATCAAAGAACCTAATAAAATATGAAAATATATATTCCCAAATATTTAATATAGGCTGGAAATTGCACGCAACATACATGGATTTTTTTTAATTTTGCTTTTAATAACCCGCCCCGCAAATAAAGTGACAATTTCTTTCCCGCCCCAACCCGACCCGCGGGGTCCGCGAGTTATGAGACGACCCGCGCATCACTAGTCAGTGCATAATGGTACTGTGACAGTGTTACTTATGTATGTCTAGACTTCTGGTCTAGACAAGACTATGGTCAAGTCCTACATGTACTTTGTATGCACATGTTTTTTTCTGGTACAAATTCAGAGATGGACCAGAACTGTTTCATTTGTGAACTGGGTGTCTCTGCCTGTGGGTGTTCTCTGGTCATAGGTGACTCCTCTCATTCATAATTAATGTTATTCAAAGACTTTGTTCAGACTGGCAGCAAATATCTGATTGGGCGTATCCAACTGAAGCTTTTTCGTAATTCATGATGCAACGTGTATTTAACATCCTTCATGTCCAAATTCACTCATTTCCTCTTATAGCACACTGACATTCACTAGTGAATGTTACTAATTGCACAAGGATGTTCTCTAATGTGCCTCATGAGTTCAGCACTGTGGCAAGATGGCAAAATTGAAACTGGTCTGTCCTCTCTTTCCACCCCAACAGGTGTTGTATGAGTCTCTTTGCATTATCCTGGCATTTACATAATTACTATAGCAACCAATGTAGGTATTTACTAGCCTATCTACTGTAAGTAAACGGATCAGAATTCATCCCTTGCAAAATCACAATGAGCACACTCAGTCCTAAATTCACATATAAAGACAATTCGTATTTGTGTACAGTGTAAACAGAACCAAATATGTTTATTGGACCAGAGATAATTGGGAAGTGTAATATATTTAGTAAAATATGATGTGCTTTATTGTTTTGAACTCAAAACGTCCTTGTAGTACTTAATTTTATAAACTTGATATGATTGAAAAAGTGATACATGAAAAATATTGGATTTTATCAGTAGATTTCTATTTGTAAAAGTATATTCTTGTACATTTTTGTAACTTTATGTATTTATGTACCAGTAGGAGGAAAATATATTTATTGTTGATGGTTACACTGTAATTTTTTTCAGTAACAGTTCTTTTTGACAGTTGTCTCTATTGAGCATATTTGGGATTTAAAATAGGAAAACCTCATTGTCTTAAATGTGCTTAATAGAAAAATCAGACATTACATAATTGTCTTATTTTCTGAAATAGTCTTTTGTTTTTTACTTGTGTGACAAATTTGTCGTTTTCACATTGAGCGTCAGCCTCTAAGTGCTCTTATTTGTCATGCAGATTTTTGCCATTGTAGTTATCTTCTTAAGATAACATTATTTATGCTGTTTTCATGTTTTTTGTAAAAACATTGCCATGTAAATGCTTTTATTCTTAAAGGAAAAGTAGGTCTGAAAGTGGAGATTATGGAGCTTTGTGAATTTAGTGGCTTTTTCATATGTTGCTGTGATACTGTATATTTTATTGACATGGACAGAATGGTGTATGGTTCTTTACACTACACAGTTGTTTGTACAGTATATTTTTAAAATGTTATTACAATTTGCTGCAAATATTGTGACTTTAAAGCCTGTTTTACAGTTAATGTTTACACAATGCTGCTGTGTAGTTGAGCTGGGACTGTTTCCTCCAGTTTATTAAAAAATCATATCTGTTACTTACAAAGTTATGATGAGTCAGTTGTATTACCTTTGAACAGACACTGCCTTCTCTTATAATAGACCCTTACAGGTATTATTGTAGATATCCTCAGAAGTAATGGTTTTACATGGCTCAGTGTTGTGACTAGCTGTTTCTCACTCTTTCAAAGCTGTTTTACATCTAATTTACATGACTGAATAGCTGTATTGTATTGCTACTGTAATTGAAAAGACATCACTGTTTACTGTATTGTAAGACTTATTGTTTCATATCCATGTACATACTTTCTCTCTAAAGCTGAAGTGTGAAGTTTCTGTGCCACTAATGTCAGCAAATGAAATTAAAAAAAATATTTACTATTTTCAAACATGTTTCCAGAACGCACCCCCATCTGCCATTGGTCAAAAGTAGCAGACGCAAAGTATGGTCGCAAGTTCCGTCGTTACCAACACAATTCAACGGAATTTGCGACCATACTTTAGGGAAACGCACCCTTGGTTGGGATGCTTAAACAGAGGAATGTTGTTTTGATGGCTATATAGATCTGCAGTATTTACACTTTTTTTTCCTGTAAAATTACACACTTCAGCTTTAATTATTCCAATGTAAATAGCCTATTCAATGTGCCTTTATTATGTGCTATGCTGTCATCAAATAAATATATGAAGTATTGTCATTCAGTTGCTTTCTTTTAAAAATTAAGATTGCAGAATTTAGTGTGTATCTGTGAAAACAATTAAATTCTATAAGGAATTTTATATAGAAGTATTCAAATAAAGTCAGTATGTATGCCAAATGTTGAGTTTGCTTACATAATGTTTACCATAATGGCATATGAGAACGTTTAAACACATTTAAAATCAAAGACAAGCAAAAGATGAAAAGCTCATTTAGAAATAAAAAAGAGAGAGATAGAACACCCCACATTCCACCACACAGCATGTGAAATGACTGCCATTCTGCAAGGTGCGAACAAAATGGAGAGCTGCCTTAAAACTACAAGTCCCAGAAAGCCTTGTGCTCCGTTTCCTGCATATATGGCCAGCTGACTTCCGGTGTCTTTAAATTCTCAGCCATTAATCTGATCGAACGCTGCGAGTGATTTTGGCTACATCTGATCTGATTAGAACGATGGATATACCCATCAGTTAATATATCACGAAAGCACTGGACCGTCAAACGACCGCGCCGGATTTGATAGGCGTCTGTTACTCGATCAAAGCGGTCGTTTTAGTTCCTCTTTATTTTGCCGCAGTCAAAATTATTCCAGCTCAAGGCCAGCGGTCGCGCGCACTTTCTCTGCTCATACAACATTTCACATCTCTCGCATCATAATCGAGACATCTCTCTTTTTAATGGTTCGTGTATCATCGTTTTGATGTGTCTTTAATTTTGGACTATATTTTTTCCTGATCAGCAGTCGAGCTCATCCTGGTTTGGTGTCTGGTTCACAGGCAGGTCTGGATTCCTAACACGGATTCAAGCACTCAAGCTGATATATAATGCTGATCCAGTAATACAAACAACAGTTTGGCATCACGTCAAATAGAGCAAAGGTATGTGACGTTTGTTTTTGTTGCATTTCCCTACACATCTGCGCTGTTAAACGTCTATCTGTTTATAAGCCGGATACAGTGTATTGTTTATATGGCTGCATATTGTTTAGGTGATTCATTAATCAGTAAATCGGATCACTTAGAGTACTACCTAGCAGTTAAATTACTTGCTAAACATTCACCAGGATCTCGTGAGTTAGTGTTTGTCTAGTGTTCATGTCTTGTCATCTCACCTGTAAGTTGTAATACTTTGCACTGCATTTTATATTGGTAAAGTATGTCACTTAAAGATAGTAATTAATCATCTTGTGGTAATGCTGGTTTGACCACTGGACTGTGTATAGTAAACAAATCTGTGTGGCATGTTGTGAATAATTGACTTGGTGTTAGGCTGTGCGAGGCAGCGAAAGGCCAGAGGGAGAAGACACATACTGAGTCTTTGTGCCAGGGGTTGTGCTGCCCTCTCACTGCTGGTCAACCATCGATTCCTGGCTGCCCTCCACCTCTGATCACAGCCATGACCTCTCAGAGAGACCCCGACACAGTGAGTATATCAGGCCAGATCTCTCTTTACATCATGCACCATTACACAATGTCAATATGATGAAGCATCAGGTGTCATTTTTAGAATGCATTCAAATCTTAAAGGTGCGGAGTTCACTGAAATATGTAAATTTTTGTCATCTACTTTTACCTTGTTGCTCCACAGAGATGATTTCATTTTCATTATTTTGTCTGTTAAATGCAATAAGTTACTTAGCACAATGTTCATGCTGCTCCTTTCCATTCTATGAAAGTGCATAGTGACCATGGCTGTCAAGTTATAAGACGGGGGAAAAAATATTCATTAGCTATTTTCCAAACCTTCTGAAGCCTTTGATGGCTTTATCTGATGAATAGACTAAACTTTGCATCATTATTCACAAAAATCTACATGCATCTTGCATGTTTTTTATGCAAACTAAGGGTAAACAGGTGATGGCAGTTTTCATTGTAAACTGTTCCTATAAGTTTAAGCCTAAAAATGTTATATTAAAAAAACAGTAAGTGTTATTGTAAACTTAACTTTTGTTTATTGAAATAAAGCTAAAATAAAAAAAGACTAAAACTTAAAACAAATCAAGGCTAAATTAAAAAACAAAAACTAATGAATTTACACATAAATAAATTAATTAAAATTAAAAATTAAAAACACATAAATTAAAAAACTATATATATATATATATATATAAAAAAAAAAAAAAATACTGTAATAGTAAATAAATAATACTAAAATAACACTGACCTTTTCTTGTTAGTCCTAATATGGGTTTACATTAGAGAAGTTGTGAATTTGAACTTTTATTTGAGGCTGAGATGACAAAATGAATCTTGTATGTTACACTCTCAGTCTTACTGTTGCTTTGAGATTACTTGTTGTTTTCTGAACCTGTTGTTTCTGGGATATGTTATTTTACTGCCATTATTTGGGGATGGGGCAAATGGTGATGCCTTTAAGCTCTTGATTTGAAAGTGACATGACGTGTAGCCAAATACGGTGTCCCATACTCAGAATTTTGGGATGAAAGCAACATGATTGAGGTTTTTGCGAACAAATATATAAGCCGTGAGATTATAGAGGTGTTTGCGTACTGGTTCTGGGGCATTTAGGCAGATTTGGTGTGTTGTATTTGTCAAGGCTTTAAGAACTGGGGCAGCAGGGAGTGCTTATTTGTTTGTTATGCTCTCATCTATATTATCCATCACAGATTTGCTGATAACACCCTAAATCCACCCGAGCAGGCTGGAGAAGGGCTTTCCGTGCCTTAATCGGGGGCTTGGTGTTTGTAAACAGTCTGTTATCATGACGTCATGCATCATGGTTTGACCTCTTTTGTTCCCACTGCTGGTCCCCATAGGTGAAAGCCGAATACTTTCAAGAGTGTCTGAATGGGGGTGGGGTGCCCTACATTGCAAATGCCCTCGGCACAGGAGCCTGATTTCACAGTAGGTTAGGTTAGGGCATTGGGGGGCCCTTAGTAAGGATTTAGCTGGCACGTGGTGCGAGAGGATGAACACATTTTTGTGGCTGGAAGAGGTTGTCCTTTTCCTGTCATGTTATTTGATTGCTTCCACTATTTGGGTCATGACCTGGGCTGCTGTCACAGTGGGGTGGAAGGAAAACTCGGGCCCCCCTATTGCGAGCGGATGAGCTGGTGTTAATGCTACGATTTAGTATCTTTGACTCAAATTAAATAATAATATAAACCGATTTACTCAACTTGTACTCGCACATTTTCAGTTGAAACTGAGAGGAACTGAATGTCTTCTTTCACTTCCACTTTCTCAGAAACATGTTGAAAGTTGTTTTGGTCCGCTGACTGGTTGCAGTGTCTCCATGAAGCTATTTTTCCTTCGTTTTTGTGCTTTTTTGTATGTGGCTTTATACACAGCAGTGCCAGGGCCAACTGGCTCACCTTCTTACGCCCCCCCCCCCCCCCCAACTGATTCTGAACGAAAGCATTAATGCCCGGCCAAGCTCTCTACACTGAGTGTGGGTGATGTAATGTTTAAATTGCAGTCATTGAAAACCATGAGGCAGGGGGGAAGGAGGGCGTTTAAACCCTGGAAGAAATAAACTGAACAAGAGACTCTTTGGAATCTCAAAGTTTAGTTTTTTTATGGGTTGATATAGTGGCACTCTGTGTCTTTTCTGTGCAGACATTGAGTCTTATGGTGCTTTTTATATTCACAGAGGATGCTGCCAAATTTATTCAGTTGAATTCCTAAATTGGGCAGTGTGGTGATATCACTATATGGTGTGTTGGTTGATCAAGGTCATGTCATCATTGCAAAGCTAAACTTTTTTTTTCTGATGTATTGATTATTGTTGCAAACTGATTTAATGAAACCACTGTAAAATTGTTTAGCTGGCTAACATAGATTAGATTTAGTCCAAATTGTCTGAAATTTTTTGTGATTATAGTCTTTAAGCATTAGTTAGAATGAGTTAAAAATGCTTAACAAATCAGTAAGGTTTGGAACTGTATGTTATTGTTTTCCAACAAAAATATGAATTTATAGCTGTAGTATCTATTATTGCTGGAATTTATTTAAAATTAATTACTATTTTATAATAATAATAATGATTGTACTATAATAATTGTAAGTAAATAATAGTAAAATAAAATTTTTTTTTTTTCATTCTTATTCTGAGAAATGTTTTAAATCATTTCTAAGGGTGGAGCCTTTGAACATGTTGGCAGTGAAAATCAAATAATCCTTATTTTTTAGGCAGCATAATGGATCTCGTAGACGTATGAACATTAGCATGAAGCGTGTGTTGGCCTTTGTGGTGTTATTAATACTGCTTGTAGAGGCATTGTGTCTGTCTGTTGCTTTTTAATAGGACTCATGCATGGGTCAAATTTATTGCGCTAATCCACCGTGCTGCTCCCCTCATCCTGCAAGGGGTTATGCATGGGCCATGTAAATTTAATAACTCAGCCCTGGGTTGTCTGGGACACCTGGGGTTATCGCATTAGGGTGAAGGGGTGTCTAGGAAAGGGGGGGCTGGTATCACTACATGCAAACGAAAGGCATTAGCACTTCCTCTCTGCCCTACCCTGCGTTTCCCCACTCGCCAGACCATTTCACTGGAACCTTTAAAGAGGGTAGCAGCTAGTTTCACCCTTAAAGCTGAACATAAATCTAATTAGGAGGGAATGCCCATTTCTGCAAAGGACTCTCCAGGTCGTCATGTTTTGTGGGGTGAGCACAGGTTGAAGGGTCATTAAGGTCTATTTGGTGGAAATGTCACTGTGTATGAATTTTAGGGCACTGCTTCACAATTTAATGATTTAATTAGTTTCCCCTCTCCTTTCACTCGGTTACAGGTGAATCTACGGCTGATCCTTGTAAGTGGGAAGACACAGGATTTCACTTTCTCTCCGAATGACTCTGCCACAGACATTGCCCGCCATGTTTTTGAAAACTGGCCAGCAGGTATGGTTTGAGTGTGTATTTTAATTGTAGTTCTATTTGTAGTTGAAGTATTGTGTTTGTGTTTAACACACTTTTTTGTGCACAAAACATAGTTTAAACTCAATATGTGAAACTGCTAAAATCATCACAGAATGTTTTTTTTTTTCTGGTGAACAATCACTTTGAAATGGCAACACTATCGTTCAAAAGTTTGGGGTCAGTAAGATGTTTTTTATTTTATTGAAATGAAGACCATTTATTCAGAAAGGATGCATTATATTGATTAAAAGTGACTAAAGATTTTTCTTTTTCAAATAAATGCTGTTTTGAACTTTCTATTCATCAAAGAATCTTTTCTCAAAATATTAAACATAACTTATAACTGTTCAACATTGATGATAAGAAGAAATGTTTCATGAGCACCAAATCAGCATATAAGAATGATTTCTGAAGCATCATGTGATTGAAGACTGGAATATTAATGCTGAAAATTCAGCTTTGCCATCACAGATAAATGCAGCCTAGGTGAGCATGATAAACATGAAAAACCTTAACTTTTGAATGGTAGTGTCTGTCATAGATGTATATGGATTAGATACTTTTCGTATTGCTAATTTACTTTCACTGGATTTCATCTGTGACCACATGCGGTCCAACTATGATCTTGACCATTTTTTCATAGTGAAGCTTCATGCCAGCCTGTTTCAGTAGTGACTGTAATGACTTGCATTGCAGGCTGGGAGGAGGAGAGTGTGAGCAGCCCCAGCATCCTGAGGCTGATCTTCCAGGGCCGCTTCCTGCATGGCAATGTCACACTAGGAGGTGAGCACTAGACCTTGTCTGTCACGGTCAACACACTTTGACAGTCCTGTTGTTTCGCTGTCTCTACATTATTGTGAGGACAGTGAAAGTGGATGTTAAAATATGCTGGAGGTCAGAAGCTGTTTGTACTGGGCAAAGTAGCCAAGTTGTTTGCAGATATTCAGAATGCCACTTCTCTGTTGAATAGCTCTGAAGTTGCCCCCTGGCCGAACAACTGTCATGCACTTGGTTGCCAGAGAGACGCTGCCAGAGCCGAACTCCCATGGTAAGTTCTGATATATTCCTCTGGCAAGCTCCTACTGCTCTAAACATGGCTGAATGTCTTTGGCTTGCCCATCCACATCCACTTTTTGTTTTAAGGACAAGGAGACAGCAGTAATTGGAGGACTGATGCCAGGTAGCAACTGGCTTAAATCTTCCAGACACATTATAATAATTAAGATGCAAACAGTCATATTAACACTGAACTTTATCCAGTCACACAATGCTGATTCAAAACTGTAACTTAAGATCTGTAAAGTCTGTACCTTTCTTGGTACTTCTGGTTTAACAAGTTGTGCTGGCTTTATTGAAGCAAGCTTCTTGTTCACTATGACTTGTCAGTATTACATTTGGAATGAGGAAGCAGGTTGCATGCTTTGTTTCTATTTTATATGATCAATAAATCACTGTTTGGCTTCAGATCAGGGACTTGTTTTAGCCAGCATTCACACTGTCGCTTCACAATAGATAAAGTTAACATGAACAAATGGGCCATTTGTAGCCCACAGTCTTTGTGGGTTTAAGTTCCCTTGATTTCATGAAAAGTCAACATGAAAACAGGATTGACCATAATTACTTTATATACACTATCATTCAAAAGTTTGGTGTTGGTGAGATTTTTATATATATATATATATATATATATTTTTTTTTTTCCCTCATCTCTTAGACTCACCAAGGCTATGTTTATATGATCAAAAACACAGCTAAAATTTAAAATAACTTTATGCATATTTTAAAATGTAATTTATTCCTGTGATGTCAAAGCTTAATATTCAGCATCATTACTCCAGTCTTCAGTCACATGATCCTTCAGAAATCATTCTAATATGCTGTTCAAGAAATATTTCGAATTATTATTAATATCAGTGTTTTTATATTTTTGTGGAAACCGTGATACAATTTTTTTTTTTACAGGATTATTTGATTGAAAGTTCAAAAGAACAGCTTTTATTTGAAGTTGAATTTGAGGCTGATTATAAACTGGGCCTGGTTCGTATAGAACGCCCACTTTGATCCAATCCATTCCTGATGTATAAAATCAAGTCCTGTATTTGCATTTCTCATTGAATATTCTCTTTCACTCTGAAATGCATTACATTACCGAAGCAACTGTACTCTGAATGTGGTTTATGTTGATTTTAATACCACCCCTCATTAATTATAGACTAGTTACACATAGCATGTCATTCGAGGAAGAAAACGGGTTATTTTCTCCTCTGTTAAGTCATCTTAGGGGCTGTTTACACCTGGCGACTTCATGCGTTTTCTCAGATCGGATAGCTATCTGATTTATCAAAACGATTCCTTTTACACCTGGTTTTGTAAAACGGATATAAATCCGATCTTCAATTCCCACTGCAGATTTAATGGCGTGCACGTCACCGAAAGCAACAGATATTGCGGCATTTTATTGATCATCAGCTAATTTCAAAATCAAAGACAGCGATAAGAGAGAGCGTTAACAGAACTAGTAAGATCATTTTGTTTCTTTACTTTTAATGAAGATGATTGTGTGTTGAGCGTCTGCACCTTTCACTTTGATTTGTGATAGTTTGCGGCGCGTTGGCTTGATGAATCGACACTCAGCTGCTCATCTGAGGGTGCGTTTCGCAGTAGCGTCGTCATATCTGACTATAACATGACATATAGCCTATAACACGCTCTCACACGTTTATTTTTTTAGCATTTTTGGGAGGAGTAAAATTTACATATGTGGTTTCAACAACCAGATGCATTTACACTTGTCCAGTTTCATCTGGAATGCGGCCCAGACCTCCTCCTGAAGTGGTTTGAGCGATCGGATTCAAATCCGTCTCGAATGCGTTTCGGGGGGCGTTTACACCTGGTCTTTTCACGATCGGATAGCTATCCGATCACAGAAAACGCATAAAGTGGCCAGGTGTAAACAGCTCCATAGTGTCCTGCCTTTCCCTCGCATTCTTGTACCGGTAACTGAAGAGTGTTTCAGAGGAGGACCTGTGATTCTTTGATTTATTAGGTGTCAATCAATATTTGTTCTCTTCTCGTAGGCCAGAGGAACAGGGAGAAGACTACAGAGAGCAGCTGCTGTCTACTGCTGTAAAACCCAGACAAAGCTTTCCCCACCTCCTTCTGTCCTTCTGCTCCCCGCTCCTGTCTCTGCTCACCAACCCGTGGTGCATTCTGGATGATTACAGAACAGCTCCAGGGACAGTGCGACTAGGTTTTCGTTCAGTGTTTTTGCTCCTTATAGTAACTGGAGACTCTCTTGTGCCAAGTTTATCAAATCTCATGCGTTTGCCTTGGTTTGGTTTTCTCGTTTCGTTTGGTTGCCAAAATTAATTTTTGCTTGGTAAAGTGGCCATTTGTTTATAGGCTGCTGCCTCTGAAAATATTAAACTGTGCAAATATGAAATACCTGAATCATTGAAAGGAAATTATGTAAACGGATGTGTGAACAGGTTTTCAGAGGGACGTCCTGTACTCGAGAGACCTTCTGTTCTCCCAACACCCAAGTGTCAGTTTTCACTTGGCATTACATGCCTGACTCAGATGAAGTTTAGTATGCGTCATAATAACAGACTTTTGTTTGCACTTAACACGGATCCTTATCTGAAGTCACTATGTGTGTGTTGTAGTCTTAATCCTCCTGCCTGCCTCAAACAGAAGGAGCTTACGGAGAGAGAGGTGTGAGGACTCGAGCACCAGTCTGTTGCTGTGGACCGAGGGAGTCTGATATAGCGCTGGTGGATTTGACTGTGCTATGGCCACCTGCGTTTTTTGCCTTTGTCCTAGGACCAATCGAGAGTGGATCTCAAAGTCGCCAGACTCCTCTTACTACCTAGTTACGTCAACATCTGTGCATGACCCTAGTCTAGTGTTTCCTCGCCCTGGGTGTGTACCAGCCGCCTTTGAAAACCATTCACCCTGTGTCTACTTGAATAGAGTTTTTTTTTCTTTTCTTTTCCACGTCTCCGCTGAAGAAGCATGTGTTTGATGTGAAGTGACACAAACTCTTCTTCTTGCCCAGTCAGGATATATCATCTGTATCCTGTCCCATGGTTGTCTAAAATGCGTCCTGAGGGACACAGTCCAGGTGCAAAGAATAAGGAAATCATCCGAAAGCCTCTGTCTGGAGCAAAGGGCTGGGCTGGTAAAAGCCCCCATTATAAGCGCTATGGATTTATGGACCCCCTGCTACGTTGTTGCATTAGGTCAAAATGTGCGTTGGGGATGGCCGGCCCTAATGGCCTCCCACTGGGCCAGAAGAAAGGAACAATTGAGTGTTTTATTTCCTAATGTTTGTAAGCCGTCTGTTTTGTTTGCCTTTTGATTGTGGGAAATGAATATTATTAATAATGGAGTAATAATTGGGACCTTTTTATCTTGTCCGAGTATGAGTTTTTATTAGTACACATCAAATGGCTGACTCATGTTAAGTGTGTGTGTGTGTGTGTGGGAGTGCGAGTGGATGAGGATTTTATTTGGAAAGATAGTGAGTTTTTTGTGGCAAGTGTCCACAGAAACTCTCCAATCTTTTGATTGGCCAATTACTGCAAGAATGTTTTATCATTGTCACTGCTATGAAAATTAGCTACAAATTATTACATGTAAAAAAAAAAATCCCTAAATCTTGTATTATAAATTAATAAAATCTTTCAAATAATACTGTGTCCCTGTGTATTTTAAAATATTGTTGTTATTTATCCATTTTATTTATTTATTTAGCATATTTATTGATGTATCATCAACTAAAAATGATATCTCCCCCAGCCTTTGCTTACTGGCCAACAATGTTACAGTAATGCAGAAATCACAATATTGCTATATAACACATATGATGGAAATCACAATATGTATGTAACTGCAACACCAATTAATTACTGCTATTAACACTATTTCAGGAACTAAATCTTCTAGCACAGTATTTTATACAATATACATTATTATATACACTTTGGGTCTAGTGATGCATTCTGTGAAAAATAATACATTATGTTCAATGTCATTCTCACGTCCTTTATAAATGAATCAGCAGCACCGTGTTTATGTTGTGCTGTGGTTTTGCCTCTAGATGGCGATGTGGTCCCGGTTCTCTGGGTGGTTATGTCACGTTATCTATCATTTACTGCGTGCTTTTCGCATGGTTTTGGCCTGCCTGTCTCATGGTTTCATATTCGCTAGGTCTTGTGTTGAGGTAATTAGCATTCTATTAAACATTGATTAAATAAATGAGCCAGCACAAACACTGTTATATCCATGATAGTATTCACTCTGGAAAGTCAATATCGTCGCTTTGTTTATGACCATCAATTTCCACTGACCGTTCGACAGCAGGCCCAGTCACGTGGCCCATACAATTTCTTTACTCTTTTTAATGATTGCAATGAGCCTTAATTTATTGTAGACCTTTTCTCGTTTAATAAAATTTTCCTTCTGTTTTTGAAAAGTCATTTCATGACTTATTGTTGAGACATTACCAGGTTTCCAGTTGACTTTGGCAGAGAACTGGAGCACTGACTCCAGCAGACCAGCACACAAACTCTTAATCGCTTTATAGTGAACTTCTCGTGGTCGTGGTGTGCGTCTGTTTCTTTTTGGGCCTCTCAATTATAATAACTTTAACGAGTTTACATATATTTAAGCAGATTGAACACAATCAAATTAACCCATAAGAACCCGGACCAATTTCCCCTTATAGAAAAATTATGGGGCATATAAAACAGACTAAATGGACCACTTAAAACATGTTTCTGCCGTTGTTTTTTAAATACAACCACTCCTTGTCAAAGATCTGTAATGTTACATATATGTCACATTGGGCGTTTATGGTGCATTTTTAACGTTACATATATGTCACATTGGGCTTTTATGATGCATTTGATTTTTTTTTAACTTGGTCAGTTTTCTTGCTAAATAACATTTTTTTTCTGTTTATTTTCTTTTCCACAACATTTTCTAAATTATTACTTTTCTGGGAAGATACATTAAAAAAAAAAACTTTTTCAGATGTAATAGTTTGTGCATTTTATTTGCTTTGCCACATATTTCAAAACCACACAACTGTGACCATTACATTTTACAACAACTGTTCTGTAACATCAAAAGTCAACCTTCTCAGGTATACGGTTTAATCATAAATACATTTTTAGATAATTTTTTCACAACTCGAAAATGTGCAAAATGAATAAAAATAAATAACTACCTCACACCAGAGGTCAACATGTTGAACATGCATGTAGTGCAATAACATTGCAAAATTCTACCTTTTCAGGTATACGGTTTAACCAGAAATACATTTTTGATTATTTTTTCACAACTCGAAAATGTGCAAACTGAATAAAAATAAACATGGTGTTTTGTACCATATGTTGCATAGCTGTTTTAGTTACAGATAGGCAACATATTTTCAAAATACATTTCATAAAAGGGTAAACCCTAAACCAACTTTCTTTAGTTAATGATCTGTAAGACTGGGGCTTTATTATTGCTGTTCATTGATTCAAGTAATTTTTTGGACATTTGGGTATAAAGTACTTTAATTCTACAATATATGGTGTAAAAACATCTGAGTGCTGCCCTCTTCAGGTTGAACGGTGGCTACTGCAGTTCAATTTTTAATTTGTGGTGCCCTGTGATGTAAGCAGACACAAGCTAACCACACCCTTGCCTACGGAGAGACCTGTCTCAGGTGCACGCCCCCCCTCCGCTGGCCTCTGCCCACTTTTCCAGCATTTTTCAAATATTGCCAGTGGGTGGAGTCAGGCTCTGACCAGGGGTTTAGTTACCCTTTAACAATGTTATTAATTTGACATTTTTTTGTTTAAAATATGCTCTGAATTGAGCAGCAGATTATATGTAATACTAAAATAATTGATTCAGCTAAATTATTTGAGCAGCTCATTAGCATTTTTCTTAATGTGACACATATGTCACATCAAAATTCCACCTACTGTTTTACTGTTAAAAGCCAGATGTGACACATGTCACAACAACATTTTCAAAACTTGTTTTATATCAATTTGTACAAGAAACGTTTTAAAATCAGGTCAAGTGTAATCTAGGATATGTTATTAAAACATTAGAATTGTTGCATGGGTTGAAACATACCTTTAGTAACAAAAATAAGCGTCTTTAAAAAGTGCTGACACTGCAATATGTGCACACCAGACAGGCCACCATTTTGGAAATGTTACCATGGCAACAAAAATGCACACATTGTCACATGACTGAACCTGGATGTTCCTATGTCCCTTAGGGACTTCCTGGGTTGAAAGTGAGGTATAATCGTTTAAAAAAAACCTTTTCCGATCGGCGTCACAATGGGTTCTTAAGGGTTAAGTTTAAGCAATTTGAACAAGCAGCAAAAATATTTTTTTTGCGTGCGAGTTGCGAAAGACAGAATTAATTATATAGCTAAATAGCTTATCTGTTGTATATCTAAAATTAAACATCTAAAATAAACAATATACATCAATCTAATATCATACTTGTGTAGGCTACACTAACGTTCAAAAGTTTGGGGTCGGTAAGATTTTTTTTAACGCTTTTGAAAGAAGATTCTTATAGGCTGCATTTGATCAAAAAAACAATTAAACCCTTAAATTGTAATTTTTACAATTTTACAATTTAAATTTTAAATAACTTTTCTTTTTAATATTTTTAAAATGTAGGCTAATTTATTTATTTGATGTCAAATCAGAATTTTCAGCATCATTAGCTACTCTTCAGTGGAGAAATCAGCCTAGGCCAATGCTGAACTTGATGCTCAAGAAACATTTCTTATTATTATTATTGGTGTTGAAAGCAGTTGTGCTTTCACTGCATATTCACCCCAAAATTAAAAGTCTGTTATTAATTACTCACCATCAATCTTACTGGCCCAAATTTTTGAACTGTATATGTCATATTTATTTCCAAAAAAAACAAAAACAATCACAACCCAAAAGCCCAAAAGTTAATGTATTAGCATTTTTAGTTATGTTTATTGAATGTATATTAAATAGGCCTATTAGCAACTTGCTCTGCTTTAATCAGTCTGAATCCTGTCAATCTTCTAAAGCTTAGCTGTAATAATCTATTTAACCTGTGTGAGTTCAGGTCTCTGTTGCTTGTTATGTGTGAAGGGATGGGATCCAGGGTAAACCTAAACAGAAAGCTCCACTAATGGTTTAGCAGGAAGTCTCGTGGGTGATTTTAAAGAAACGACGAGAGTGACGGAGCAGCTGCCTCAACTTAAACCCCTTTCTTTATCCTTCTGTTTGGTTTTAGGGATTCCCTCAGGTCAAACACAAATATGTATGTGGTCAGTGAAAGTGGTGTGATCCATTTAACCCCTTGAGACCTTTATCCAACAAGCTCTATATATCTTTCACTCTAAAATACACAATCTTTCATGTGACCTCCACGTTAAATGAGTGGAAAATATATAATAAACACAGAATGATGGACGTGTCACATTCAGCACCAGTAGGGTTCTGTTTTTGCTTTTTCTTCAGGTTTCAATTCTGTCAGTCCTACTCCCAGACTGTCATTATGGCTGATATTAAAACCAGCTGTGAACAAAGCAGGCTACCGTTAGCCTGGACTCTCTGACCATCCATCCAGATCATTTGCTCTGTGGTATTCCGTCGCTTATCAGAGAAGCAAGTTGTAGTGCATCTGGGAGAGTATTGTGTGTCAAGCCAATTTCCATGCCACAAAGAGGGCATGAGCGTGTGTGTCAGCGCCATCATTCTGCACGCATGCTTTGCGTCCTCTGCCAAGTTGCTGCTCGAGGCATGAGAGAATCTGTAGCTGGCGGATACACGTCTTGAATGTGCGAAACTCTTTCGTGACTGCAATAAAGGTCACGCTCCTCACCACTCACTCCAGCTCCTCCAGAAGCCATTTTCTCAATTATAGGAATGACACGAGCGCGCATACGACTGTGGTTTGACATAGGAAATTCTGTAAAGTAAGACCCGTGAGCTGGAGCTGCCTGACGGGTGGGAGGAGAACCGGACACGCTTCTTTATTTTCATGGCAGGGCCGGAGGAGGCAACGGGGCTTTGTTACATCTCCCCTTTTATTTGCCTGTTTATTTTACCAGGTGGTCCCTTGAGTTTAATAACATGCCACTGTAAAAAAGTAGGAGCGAGAGGGAGGGCTGCAGGGAGGGCCGTTTAATAACAATGTGAGCTCTGTACCTTGTGGCGATGGAAGGAGAGAGAATGAGGGGTAGAGGGAGGCCAGTTAAAGAGGATTTGCAGACATGTGCCTCAAAGCATTCTGGGTGGAGAGTTTCTCACACTGTTTTAGTACAGCAATGTGATAAACATCAGCTGTTGTTGTTCGTTCTGTT